AGCAGGAAGAGGAAGCTGATTTCAGGGGCCTCCAGAGGTGAGCACCCACCCTCGGTCTGACACCCCGCTGCTAGATCCAGGCCCTTTCCCAGAGCCTGTGTGCCCCTCAGCCCCTCCCCTGCTCCAAAATCCTGGACCCCACTTAGTTAAATGACATTTTTAAATTACCAGCAACTCCTCCTTCACCCCCATTCCCTCAGCATACTGGAAAAAAGGGCTTTTTAATTATAATGTTACTATGTTTACTATTTTTTCTCTTGTATTTTGAGCTTTTAAAAAATTTAAGCTGTTCTAAGAACCATTTCAGGGCTGTGCCTTAATTGGCTACTGCAACCCATTTATGAAGTTTTGTATTTTCTCTGCCCAGCCTGGCAACAAAACAAGGTCCTTCTGCTGGGCCAGTTTGTATGAGAGACATTGTGAATCCTTTGTTAGAATACACAGTGGTAATCTTGAAAGGAAGAAAAAATCTCTCAAATCATCCTTAGCACAAACAGGAAAGAATAAACAGTAGAAAAAATATAATGAATCCTGCCATTTTTTATTTTCTGACTTTTTATATTGTAGATATAAGCCATCACTGTGTAAATAGATTGGCTCCTTGCAGAAAACTGTCTTGAGACAAATAGTATCCAACAGAGGAGAGAACTCATCCTTTCCCTCATTTATCAACCTGTGTGAAAAAAACTCCTGAGGATTGAGGATACATTTATTATAAAATCACAATTAGGACCAGTGCTTCAACTCCTAATTGTGATTTTAATGCAGACTTCAACAAAAATCATACCACCTAGATTTGTGCATGGAGGGCCGCCTGTGGCTCTTTTCACTTCCACAGAGCATAGGGGACTGCACTGCCTCCCCAGAATCCTGCAGGAGTTCTCATTTCATCTAAGGTTTATACTGGGGAGGGTTGGAGATAGGGATGTAAGTGACTAGGTGACTGTCTGATAAGCATGAGCTTATCAGATAATCGAGTAGTGACTCAACTAATCGCTTCACACATGCCCCCACTGCCTCTATCAGAGAGAGGCAGCAGTGGGGGAGGCAGGAGCCAGTGCTGGGGGGAGCCGACTTTAAAGCTGATTCCCTCCAGCAGCCTCTCTGTGGGAGCAGGGGAGGCTCATGCTGGTCCCGACTGCTGCCCTTCTCTTTTTGAGAAGGGATCTTGCCCGCAGGGCTCTTGCTACATTTCAAAAGATGAATCGCTGCAGTTCCCCGCTGCTCTTCTGCATTTTAAATGTGGTAAGAGCCAAGGGAGGCTCTTACTACATTTAAACGGTAGAGGCGCAGCTGGGATAGTGAGAACCCCACCTGCCCCTTATCGACAAATCGAGTAGTCGATGGAAATTCCATCGACTACTCAAATAACTGATTAATCAAAATCTAACATGCCTACTTGGAGACAGTATTGAGCATGAGACTGAGTGAGCAGGCCATAGTTGTGAAATTTCACAGAAAATGCAGTACTGGTTGAGCCTTTAATGTCTGGGACTCTCTGGTCTGGCAACATCCGTGGTCCAGCAGGACCACAAATATTGTTGGACCAGAGAGCCTTGGCTGGCCAGATTCAGAATCACAGCCCGGGCTGGGCTGGCAGTGGGGAGCCCAGCAGCAGTGTGGCCATTGTGGTGGAAAGCAATGCCCTGGCCAGGACTGGTGGCAGTGGAGCCAGTGGCAGGGCAGAGCAGAGTCATGGCGGGGGCTGGTGACAGGGAGTTGAGCCCTGGCTAGGGCTGGAGTCACCAGGATGCTCAGCCTGGGCTGTTGGGGAGTAGGACGCCAGGGGGCAGGGTATCGCCTACTGGGACTGCAGGCAGTGGTGCCAGCCCTTGTCCGGGGCTGGTGCAATGGGGGACACAGTCCCAGTTAGGCCTGGCATGGTGTGGGGTTGGAGGCAGCGGCAGGGAGTGCAGCCCCACCGGAAGCAGCCTATAGCCATGTAGGGAGCCTTGATCTCCCCTTGTCTGGCAAACTCCATTGTTAGGGCTGCTGAGGTCCTGAGGGTGCTGGACAAAGGAGATCTGACCTTTGTAGCCCAAGGCTGCATTGTCCATGGAGCCTCCTGACCATGGAGGCAGAAAATAAGTTTGATACACAGTTGGCTGTTCTGATAACTTCTATGTGGAGAGTCCCCCTAATTTTTCTGTGAAGGTGAACAAATCTTTCCCCTCCTTGTCCTCAGGACAATATGCAGATACCGTCCTGATGGTGTCACAGGTGTCAGATACTTTGAGTATCTGTCCATCTTCAGGTTAATTTCAAAATACCTTGATCTCACCATGCATCTGTCTGTCTTTTTGTGATGCATTTAGAAAATATAGTGCCAGTCATTTACTAATAGGAT